CAACATTGTACACTTAATTTTCATCCCATTGATCCTATTATTTATAATTGATCCTATATTATTTAAAAGGTCATGACAACTATACGACATTAATAGTTATGTTCAGAAAATGTAAATATTTTTTATTCCCTAAAATAGTAAAATTAAAATAGTTAAATGTGTACAATGTACTTTTATTTTATGCTACCGTATTTCACAGATTAAAAACGTTATTATACTTTTTATATTATAGTACAACTAAAAATTATAAAATTAATAATACATTTGGCAATTGAAAGAAAAGTTGGTTTATATTTGCAGTTGACGTTTCATTGATTGATGATAAAACCTAACGTATAATGGTAAACTTAATTAATGAAGTTGCAAGTTGGTATCCGAAAATAATGGTTTAAAGTTTAGCGAAGAAAATAAAGTACCTACAAACAATAATTTAAATTTTTTAAGAAGAAATTGAAAATTTTTGAAATTGATATGCTTCTGTGTTATTAGTTTAACAGTGTAAATAATTATTTTAAAATGGAACAAAAAATTACTGAATCATAAATAAAATTTTTATTTTTATTAATAACTATTTTTATCTTAATTTTTAAGTTTTAAAGGAATAAAATAATGAATTTACGAGGAAATATAAAAATTAATGGGTACTTTCTATGTAATATTAGAATATATAATAATATAAAAGTTTTGGAATACTTAACATAATATAATATAACTATAATATTTACATTTTGTTAAAACAAATATCAACAACAATATTTAATGAAAATAACTAATTTAACATTTAAATGTACAAAAAAGTAATTTTTAAAATTGTCAAATAAACGAAAACTGAAAATTAATCTAAGAATAATTACAAAAAAATAATATTTAAAAAAAAAAACCAGAGTAATAATATTAGTGACATTGATGGATGTGCATTAGGTAAACAAACATTAATTTCATTTATTATTTTTAAAAATATTATTAAAATAAATGTATGACACTTTGTCGGGACAACTCAACGAATTCAATGTTATTTATTAAGAAGTTGTATTATACAATTTATTATGCTCCTTAGGACGTCACTCATACCATAAATAATATAGACAGAAACTATTCTCGGTTTTAATTTTACTAAAAGCTGTTTGCGATTTTCTCGTTAAAGTTATTGACATAACTAAAAGCATATAATAAACGAGTGCTAAATAGTGTACAACTCGAATCCAATTATACGTTATATCTATTCAAATTAACAATAAAGAACTTAGAAAAGTAATAAAATAGTTTTATTATTAATACGATGTAAACAATATTTTATATTGAATCTTTTATTATTATGACAAAATATACAAAATAATACTTCAATCAATACCCCTCTGTAACTATTTACATTTCATATTTTTCATTTTTATAAAAACTATTTTATAGTTATTGGGCTGGATAGTAAAATTTATTGCATGTATTTGTCAGATTATTTTTATCGAAGAAATATGATTAAATTTAAACTGTGTTAGCGAACAAATAAATCACTTGATTAATGAAATAAATTCTTATCCCATATAACTTTGATTTATATCAATTTAATGTAATAATTTTTTCAATGCATATTTAGCTCGTTATTTTAACGGAGTTCATTATGCTGACATAATATTATTAAAGTTAACATGTTTAAAAACAAATCAAAATATACAAATTATTACCTGACCTTTAAATTATTAAAAACAATATTTTATTTAACATAATTATTTTTACAATTTTTACTGCTAGGTGCAATAAGTACTAATGATAAGCAGAATGAAGTACTATATCATAATATATGCATGAATGTTGGAAAATAAAAAAGAACCCAATGGTACCCTACATATTTTATATGATTATTTGAATGAATACTCCTTTTAAAGGTTTTTAGTTGTTTGTGCGTAAGTAGTAAAAGAAAATGGAAATAACAATCGTCTAAAATTATGAGTTATATATCAGGGATTTTTATTCATTTAAAAAAAATCCTCAAAGATACAGTGACGATGCCCTCCCATCCCTGCAGAGAAAAAATACCGTTTCTACCAAGCAGTTGCAGTCTACAAATTATAAAACTTAATTTGCAATATTAATCTACAAATATTAATTAGACCAGCGTGGAGTTGGTGGATGAACTTTAACTTCACCATCGTGATAAATTCACAATATATTGTACTTAAGTTGTGACATAATATGGCCAATTATAAATTTGAATAAAAATATCTTAACATTTATGTACAACGACTCATAAACAAAACAATTTCTGCTTGTACATGCTGAATTTATCTACATACTGCATTGATGTATTTTTATTCTACAAACGGGTTTTATTATAACAGCTTATAGCATAATAAATGAATGCATAATATTATAACAATATATACACAAAAATATATGAAATGAAAACTATTTTGTTTCATACAATTTCATTATAGTATACAAACAGTAAATATATAGCTACGGAGCACTGTAAAGTTTTATTTTCATTATACTAAAAAAAGTAATACCATAAAATGCGTAAATAACGCAAGAACATAATAGATCAATAAAAAAAAAAACATCAACTTAGGTTTTTTAGTTTTTGAACTCACTCATTTTGTTGAATTGGATCAGTTATACTAATACATTTTCAATTAGTATTTTCAAACATGTTTTTAAAGAAGAAAAATTGTCGAGAATTAATTACTTGCACCAAATAAAATCATATGTAGGTACCATTCTATATTGTCACATTTGCGTTTACAGCGGTCCTACTATTCTCGCAATCCGTATCAAATCAATATTCTTTATAATAATAGAGCCAATATAATTATTCCAAGAAATAAAAACTAATTAAAACTCGTATAACGAATATTACAATTATTATTATTTTTCAATTTTAGTATATTCATCAGGATAAATAACATAATTCTCTCATTTAATTAGGTTAGGTTAATTATCTAACGTGGACGATTTCGGTTATTTAAGAATAAATGAATTTACCTACTGAAGTAATTATACTGTATACTGTTACGAAACAGATACCAATCACGCCACAAAACATAAAAATAAAATAAGTGATAAAAATGTGATTTTTTCGTGACAACTGAACCCTGCATGTTCTTAGTATTGTGTGCAAAACCCATTTTTAATAAATCATAAAAATTTAATGAGTAGATAAGTTTAACCAATAATGAATACCATCTAAAAAATTTTCTGAAATAAAAGTTTAAAAAAATGTAATTACATTTTTATAAATATGACTACTTATAGAATCAACTAGTGTCGTAGTATTTCAAAGCTCCAGGTGGGTACATAGATACACATTTTATTAAATGTGTTATTAAAGATCATTGATCATAAACAATGATGTTTTCTACGTACAATAATAAAACAATATAATTGCAAGTCAAACTAATATTTTAATTAATAATTTAATGTTATGTTGCAGCAATAACGATATATTTATTGAAGTTTTCTCCATACTATTTGTTTTTATGTGCAGGTGCTGTGTGCTAATAAACATACTCTTAATAATCTTAATAAAATAAAGAAGTAAGTACCTATAACTTTTATGATTTTGAAAAATGTTAATATTTTAACCCTACATGGTATATAAAATATAATAAAAACGAATTATACAGGTGCAATTTACAAAACCACCAACAATTAAAACATTTTTTTTTTTTTTTTTCATAAAAGAGTTTATATAGTTGAGATTATAATAATTTTTAAAGTTTCACTGTATTATGGATCTATTTAACTGTTAAAAAAAAATAATTATTATAGAAATGCGTTATTTCAAATGAATTGACAAATTGTTCAAAAAATAAACTTTTAAAGATTTATTGAATTTAAAACTGTCAGATTAAAAGGGGTTTTAAAGTGGAAACTTCGTCCAGCAACTTTAATTTCTTCGATAAATCACAGAATAATTAATCGCAACTCTGTAAATTCTAAATTAGTAGTAGTAAGGATCTCCGATTTAATATATGAAAGTAAAAATATATGTTACAAAGCTAGAGTACATAATACATCATTAACTAATTTTGACAGTTGTTACTGACAAGTAAATAAATGATTTTCCGTTACACATAATGTACTCTATAAACATCACACTGATAAATGAAACAACAAGCATACTAGGTAGGTAAAAAGGGGGAAAATAATTAAAAAGAATACAAAACTTTGTGATGTCATTTTTTGTTATGTGAAAGTTTAACGAAATATGAACTTGAAAAACAAAACTACTAATATCAATTTAAGAGTATGACATGGTTAACTATTATTTGGAATACCGAGATAAAAATAAATTGTACATATTGAAGTATAATAAAAATGTAATAAAATAATAAAATATAGATATTCATTATTCGTCAAATGCCATAGTTATGCAATACTTTTTACTGTAATAATATTTGTAGTCATGACTTTATTCAAATTTAAAACACTATTTATTTTAGAATTGCAATGATGCTTTAATATTTAAACTTTGTATGTACTTAAATATGTATGACTGGGATACATTTGCCTTTGTGCGATACACTGTAGGTACTGATGGTTCTCTAAATATATTTCCAAAGTACCTACAACGTACATAGTATTAAGTACATAGTACAGTTAAATCATATTATTAACATTATTTTACAAGTTGACATTTATACACATTTCGAGCTAGGTACGATACAGTGGTGGTCAATCCGGGTGAGGAGGTCATCCCTCATGACCTTTTTTACAAATAATAACTTATATTACAGTAACCATAAATTATATTTTTAACTATCAAAATATTGTGTAGGTATATCAAAAAAAAGCCCCACCCCCCTCCATGAAAAAATCATTTGACCGCCTCCGGTAAAACACAATAATGGTCAAATTCTTGATGTATAATTCGGTTTTTAATTTTCGAGTAATATAATGTGGAAAAGTTTTGTTGAAAGTCTTAAAATTTTCTTAAACGCTCTGTTATTTTAAATGTAAACTAGATATTTATCAATCGGATAACGGAATAAATAAATAAACACGTGTTATTGGCAAATAGAGCAAAAAAGCTAATTATGTATGTATATTTTTTGTTCAAGAACTGTACAAATCAGAAGTCTAATCAGGTTAATAGCAGACACACCGCTTTTTCGGGCACTTTGCTCCATAGACAATACATTGGTCCTGGCAGTATTCATCAGCACCGGGTAATCCTTTTATTTCGCCGATTCCAGTGCATTGTTCTCTGAAAATATAACAAACCGATATGTAATTAGCTCAAATATTTTAAAAACAAATGACACCAGTAGTACGCCATAACGAAACTCACGGACAAGTGCAAAATTCTTCAGGGCAGTTTGACGGAAAGTTTACACAATTGTTTTCACACCATTTGTCCATGCCGGGAACAATACGATACTTTTGCGTTGCGACACATACTTGGGCCCTAAATTAAAAGTAAACATTTATATTATAATATGCAGTGAATAAACATATCTACTCTGTTTATTTGAAAAGATGAAATTTGTTTGAATAAAATCAAAATAATTCTTCGTTATCTTACAGTCGGTTATGATAAAAAAAAAAAATAATAAACATGGAGTGTATTCTTAATGTACAATGGATTTGGTTGAAAATAGGTTAGTCTGCGCAAAATGAAAAGTATAAAATATATAAAAATGTTTTCATTGTGGATAGTAAAATATTGAAATTTAAAAATAATATTGAATGAATACAAAAAAACTACTATGAATATTATGATGGATATAATACTATCAACTACTACCTATATATTGCTACTTTATTTAATTAAAAAATAAACATTGTAATAAATAATACATGATATTGTTTTGTTTAGTTTTTCCGATTTGTTTTACTAGCTACTGTAAATTATAAACAGCACCTACATTATATTATAATATAAATCAGTTGATAATTTATACTCATATAATATATGAGTACAATAATATAAATGTAATAATATATATTATATATCTAGGTTTTTATTTTCGTGTAAAATGGGTCAAAAGATATTATCGTAAATATTTTCATTTTGTTTGTAGAGACAGTTCTCAATAGCATTATGTTTCGTGATCAAAAAATATAATGATAATACTATGTTGTCTTTACTCTGTAACCACTTAAAATGCTTTTGTGTGTAATAACTAATAAGTCGGGTTAACTTTATATTTTCAAATTTCATAGGGTTTAACTGCTTAAGTTCACATACACTTACTGTGAATTGTAACAAATCCCATTTTTAACAAACAAATATTGAAACGTATATAGTTCCTTTCAGAGATAAGAAAATTATATTAAACATGTTATTATTATTATATAATGGTTTTTAAAGCTAAAATATAAAAAATATAAATATTCATTTATTTTCTTGCCGTTTGGTTTAATTCAAATTTATATAATACTGTGTATTATATGAAAAACTATTTAATCGTCCAGTTCCGACAAAATGTATAAAAGTATGCAAAACATTTTCAGCAATAATATTCAAACAATTTTACATGAATATAAAATCAAAAAGTTTATTATTATTATTATTTCATAGAAATAAAAAACCGAAAGATTTAAATTGGAATATAAATTAAAATTCTTTAATGTCTAACCAAATTCTGAAATGCATTAAATAATCTTGTTTTTATCAGAGATATTTTTTAAGAAAATAATAATGTAATATTATACGGAAACTACTACTTTGACATTTTAGCAGGTGTGTTAATATTGGTAATGCTTCACCACGAAAACAAAATTGAGCAAACACGAATAATGTGGTAACTTATATAAATTTTGTAACGTAATTGTTCTCGATTATATATTTTATTTCATTATGATAAAAGAAAACGTAGAAAAAATTCAAGAACATTATACGCTTTATCATACTCGATTAAGGCCAATTGATATCCATTAATAATTAAAAATGTTATTGTTTTTAATATGACATGGAAATATGGAATTGTATTTTTCAGAAACTTGTTCTGAAAATAAAACCAATAAATCACCAGAAGGCCATATTAGTTAATACTGACTTTATTATAAGTTTAAAAAACTTTTGAATAGCATTCATTTCCATAGTATTAAAAAAGTTTCCGGCATTAACAATTTACCTGAGTCTCGAGTCACTAACAAAAATGAATTATTATTCGTTAAAATATGATTTTATTTATTTATGCATATTTTTATGTATTGTAAACTTTATTAAGACCAACAAAAGTGGAGAAACTCTGAATATATTAAAATACAGTCATGTATTCTTAGCATTTGTAAGTTGACATTTTGAATTATCTTTGCGTACTTTTAAAACATTTTACTCTGAATTATTACTTTAACTTTTTACCTACTAAATAAATATTTCTAAGTTGATTATTTAGAAATGATGTATGTAACATTGTTAGTTTTTAATTTTAACTGATTCATAATTAATTGGTACAGTAAAGGAAAAATGATTTTTGTACTGAGCTTATAGCAATGTGTATTACTAGTATGATATAACTCAAATGATAATGAAATATACCATTATTTTTAAGTAAATTGATGAAGAATAACACAGAACTTGATCTTGAAAATAATTATGCAAAAATAATATTGTTAAGAATAGGTAAATAAATTGTAAAAAAATAATTATTGATTAGTAAAAAGTTTATTGATAATTCTAAAATAAAATTAATAATAAAATATTAATAAAATTAATACATCATAAACGATTTCAAATATTTATTTCGTACTTATTTTAACGGAATTAAACATTTATTATCCACGAAAACGGTAATTTAATTTATTTTGTATTTTATTAAGTGTGGATTGTTATAATGCTAACTTATATGCATATAATATTTTGTAAGATTGATTAAGAGGCCAAGTAAAACATTTAAATAAAAAAAGTTAACTAGTAAAACATAATAAATATTTATTTAGTATACCTACAACATTAATTTGAAACTACGTATGAATAATAAATCAAACAATCAGTTTAGAATATTAATATTGTATGAAGAATGGTTTACATTTTTAATAATTATTGTAAAAAAAAGAAAACTCAACTCTATGAAGTAAAATGTTTTATTAATTATTCTATTAAAATAAATATTTTCGAATTGCTACTTAGTGAAAATGTATAGCTGCTACTGAAAGCTGGAAAGTGACAAATATATTAATATATATATAACCACAAAAAGCTTTTGCAGAGTAGAAACTTATAACTTGAGCTACTGTTTTCACTCGTACATGAAATTAATTAAATATAAAGTAATTTCCTACTTAAATTTTGAAACTTTCCTTTGAAAATGTTTGTAAATGTAGAATTTAAATGAGTTTTATTAAATTTTAATAATTTATAAGACATGTTTAAGTATTTTATACCTAATTAATATTGATGAAATTAAATGCGTATTTATAAATTAAAATGGGGGGGAAAATGTTTAAAGAAGTATCTCTATATCTGTTTCAGTCATATAATAAGGTTATTCACATCAACTATGGATCCCATTAAATATTTTATTGGAGTATAAATAGTGTATCAAAATAAACAGGTATACCTTGGATGTATGTTTAACTATTATACAAATGTAGTTTGTTACGTATTGATTGTCAAAAAAAAAATTATTTTAACAGCATTTGTTTATTTACATTTGACAGTACAAAACGAATAGCCATAAAATAACATTGTTATATATAACAAAATTAATAATACCATAAAAATGTCAACGCTCGTCATCGTCCGTAGATAATCACGGCCGTAAACTGGACGAGTGGGACGCGTGAACAAAATTAACGATTTCGAAAAAAAATAACCGACGTATTATTTCGTGCCTTATACATTGCATCGGCGTGACGAAGAAAAACATAAATTATTATTATTATTACTATATTTAATTCAGTATAAGGCATAAAGTAGGAAAAGGAAAAAGATAAACAAATCAATCCTAAGCATACTCCTCCGTTATTTTCCGATCGTGTTTTAACGAGTCAGATACTGAGACACCAGCGTCAATACTGTCGAAAATAAACAGTCACCGAAATCCGTAAATTATTGGACAACATTGTTTTCATTATTCATTGGATAAAAAATTAATATACTTTGTATTATCTGTTATATTATGAAGGGAAAACTATGTACGTTTAAATAAATTAAAAATATTATTACAGATTTGATTCGTTTTACAGAAGATGAAATATTTAAAACTGAAATTCAATTAATTTTTCAATTAAACTAGTTAAACATGGTGTAAGTTCATGTACATATACTATCCACATATACATTTTAATAGGCTAACTTTGTTTATCTACACAAATTTACACACTCAATACACATTTACACAACTTACATCGTCTGGATTATTTTAACAACATAGGTACCTAACTTTACTATGACTGAATTGCGTGTGTATAATATCAAATTTAAAAGATTTTATTGTTTTGTATACGTATGTAAAGAAGTCATAAGTACTTTGTACATATGTTTTACAATAGTATATTAAACTATACTAACCCAACTATTAAATTATATATATTTAGTTGAATATTCATACAAAAAAGCGCAATGAAAAGATAAAACTAAATACGTCCTTTTCCAACTATCAGAACACCTCCGACTACCCGCAAACTCAATTTTCAATAAACCTATGCATATAATATTATGTTCTTGACAATATATATATATTGTTCAAGTCAGTAAATTTGATATTTTTTTATTGTAAATTCGAATCTTCCCCCTGCAATCAATTTTCATACAGCCCCGATCCCCTGAGTGCGGCGAGGGATAGCAATAATATCATTAACCTTGTTTTCAGCATATTATAATGTGCGCGTGTGTGTGTGTGTGTTTGTTTAGCGTAAAAAAAGAAAAAAAACCCAATCGACAAATCGACGGCGGCACGCGAGCGCAACGTACTTGACCACAAGTGGGTAATAAATCTGCGGCGCTATCCGTAAGTCGTCGCCCCGGAGAGCCGAACTGTAGTAGTGCTGCTGCGGCCTGTTGTGTATGAACTGCGGTGGTAGACCCGACGTGCTGGTCACAATTTTGACGTCCGCACAGTTCCGGAACGTTTCCGGTAGCCCACAGCCCAATCCTTCCGTCCCGTTGTCGCATTTGCCCCACATGTTACCTGTGAACAAACGCATTACGATTACCGCCGAGACGATACGAGCTCACACGTGCATCGAACGTGTGTTAAAAACAATAACATCCAGTGAGTTTTTAATGCCACCAGAATAACGTTAATAAAATAATTATATATTATTATTCGTCGGTGGCACACTTTCCAGGGGTGAGGGGCAGTCTGGGTATTAGGTTTTTGGAACGTTTGACGGTGATGGTTATTATGTACTATGTAGACTACGAAATTTTCATATTTGAGGGGTGGGGGATCACAATATTTTCATTTTCATGGCGACTCTTCTGACAAGATTATTGCATTGGCCACTACCCGGTCGTCATGACATTGTGTTATATTCTATCGTCTATGCGCAGGTACACTGCTACAGGTATACTGCAATAACAAATATAATTGACAATACCTGGTAAGTTCCGATGAGAGTAGGTAAGTACGAAAGGAAATATTATATTTTCACTCGAAATCAATTAACTAGATCCAGATTTGAAATTAAAATATGCATCGTGTCAAACTGAAATATTAACTTTCCATTGTGTATAAGTGTATAACTATTAATAAACAATTAATATTCCAATTTATTTTAGGCGTCATCTCCGCGTACCTCTAGGTTTATTATACTTTTTATAATAATATCAATTCTTTGAATCAACAAAGATGATCACGTCAAAATTTGCACACTCCTCTCTAGTCCTCGAAATTGCGAATAAAAAGTTTTTAGTGTATAGAATATTACTTTTCCTTCTAATGACGACTTAAATTCTTTAAAATTAATATCTGTACAAACATGCATATAATGTTTTACATATGTACACTTTAAAGGACTATAATATTGACTACCTTCGATCTAATAGAAAACATATTACCCAAACATGTAATTAATATGATTTGGAAATTTATTTGGTTTGTATTCATAGGCACATATCAATGTGGTAATATTACTTACCAATTACCATACTACAGGTCCGAACAATTTTGACACTTCATACTATTATTTGATACATGTAATAATCAATGTGAATTTCCAAAGTTCAACCTACTAACTAGTTAAGTACGATTTCAATAAAATATAACACAATTAACTCACGGAAATTATTTAAAGAATTGGGAAATTAAAGAAATACACTTAACGCCTAAGACATAACCTAATTTACTCGCAGTTATTCCTATACGGTTCGAAATAATGTTTAAACTAAATAAATTAAATAACAAAATATCTAAGTACAATATGAAGTCGTAAATTATTATTTAACAGTGTATTTGGTACAAAATCATGTGGATGTGTACTTTGTTTGCTTGAGTGCTAGCTATGACCGCAGTTGTATTAGAATAAGTTTACAAAGCACTTCGCTGCTAATGACATAATAATATGACAAAATAACAAAACACAAAATAATAACATAAAAACATAACAATAGTGACTAATATTTATTGTTAATTTATTCTATAGCACGACGTACGGTACTCGAGTAAATCCCTCCCGGAACAACATCGTCTCTTCCGCTCAACCTAAAACGATGGTAGCCGCAGATGGCGAACATACCGTTCTTGCACAACTTTCAATATCACATAAAACCGTGATCCGTTAATTATTAACTATAAAATATTTTATTAGATTCCTGAAATGGGAATTCCGATATAATTAGTATTATTATAGTAGGTAGGTAATATATCATGTAACATTTACGATTTAGAAACAATTACGCGAATGTAGTTTATTTAAGTAAGTACACAATATAATGACGTGGTCTCTTGTTTGGTTTTTTTCTGGTGTAAAAGTTTAGTGTTTGGTTTTGGATATCAAGGCGGATTCTCCGAATGGTATATTAGAAAATAATATACCGATATATGAACACAATCATTAAACTATTCACTGCTTAGCTGATCAGCAAAATAAAATGATGGTAAGAAAATATTTTCTAGACTATAAATAATACTTATGCGTATAAATACAACCTATACTAGTTATTATATAAGAAAGTCTCGAGTAGTGAGAATTTCAATATAATATGTTACTGATCAGTAAAACTGATAAATATTTTTTTATTTTATTTAAAAAATAACTGTTGCTAATTATTTCATTGAAAAACTTAAAACACCCACGGCATTGGTGTTGCTAAATTGTCTACACAATACCCCGTGTTACGATGATTATTCTGTTATTAATTTTGTATTATTACCCTAGTAAATCATTAATTTTTGCAATATTGTCTTTATTTTTAAGAAGTTTTGACTAAATAGTAAATATTATTCAAATTATTTTTCAGTGCTAATTTTAATTTAACACATTACCAAATTGAAAAATACATAGGACATCCAAATACATACACATTTACGATTTACACGACGATGGTGTACTTACTACTGTACCTAGATTTCCCATCCTTAATTTTGTAATCATATTTATTTAATTGAAGTAGATAAATGGTACATCAAGGGCTGAGTGTGAATAAATTATTTTATTGGCATAGGTATTACTTTAACGGAGTATAAATCTTTTTTTTACTAGATAAATATTATTTGTATGCATATACGCAATCCACTTCTTTCTGAAACAGCGTAATTCCTATTTGATAAAATATTTGTATTACCTAAATTGTTTCGGACCGTATTTGAATTAAAAAAAGTAAATTACACTTCAGTTCATAAATAATTAATTAATTTACAATCCAATAAAAAATCATTATGATAAAATTATAGACGATTATTTTTCGAGAATAAATTTAATTTTCCAGGAATAAATTACCATGATATAATTTTATCTCTGCTAAATATTTAATATATTTCATATTTTTATATTTTAAAAATATTTTTATTCCTTTTCGAGAATTGATTCATCACAACAATATTTCAAGTTTTCTTTGTACAAAATAAAAGATTTATTTTAAGTTAATTTGAAAATAACAATACATTTAGATAAGCTTAAAGAGTATAAGCTTTTAAGTATAAGACAAAAAATGTAATATTTTATGTTCATTAGCAAACTTGCTTTTTTTAAGCGTTATAAATATTTTCATATATACATTTTATTGAATAATTCTGTGTACTCGCACATAATAGATAAAACAAATTATGTAGACACACAATGTATTAATTCAAAAAATAAGTTCATAAACGTGCTATAAATATTTTTAGAGGAAATAAAATTGAAGTTTATACCAAAGTTGTGACCCGGAATTATGTACACAATTGTAATAATCAAGAAAGAATAAATTTCTTTGTAAACTTAAAATAGTAACTCAAAAACTGTTTACTTTTATTTTTAAATAAGTAAAAAAAAAGTTTTAGAATAATTTAAGTTTGTCTGGTTATCAAGATTATTTACTTAAAACCGCATGTGCAATACATACTAATATTATATTATTTTTATTGTTTTATTTGTAAAAGTTATCAAACATGAATGCATTTTTATTACCTAATCTATGGAAAATAAAATTTTAATTTTTTTACTCTCATCATCCAATGTTATCTCTGATAAATGCAATTAATTTAACAAATTGTAATCTAAATAATTGTTGAAACTAAAATCGTGAAGATTATTTCAACTGAAGCTTTTATACACAATTTATATCTTATACACTTGTAAATTAAGTATTTACTTTTTCTTGAGAAATTAATACATATTCTCAATTAGTTTAATACTTACAAGCGCGTAACTAATAAAGCATATAACATAGTGTCATTTAACCTATCATTCTTATTTCTTAAACTTGTACTGACTTAAATAAACTTTGTATTATGAAACGATACCTCATAGTGACTACAAAATCATCAGAACCTAACAAATTTGTGGTTGATTTTAATTACATTTTGAAATACAAGTTTAACAAACAATGATAAATTATTCTAATAAATGTTTAAAAGTATTAGCAATTTTCAAAATAATTATGTATTATATAGCAAGGTAAATAATTTAATATACCTACAAAAAATAGCGTTTAATATATTATATTAAATACGGTCAACATTTTAACTTTAAACATTTAAAAAAAAATTGTGTTTGTAGTTTTAATATTTTTTAATTACTGTAGTGTGTAAGAACAATTGTTTAGGTAAGACCTTAAAATAATTTCAAAAGTTTTTGACCAATCATGACATTCTTTATTAATCATTAAAAAAAAACTTAAAAAATCGAAAATTTCGAATATCCGTGAATAGTTTAGAATCGGTCGATATATTTTGAAAATTACATGGAAAGTAGAAAATGATAATTCAAGTTATGAGGGGATGTTTTGTGTTCCAACAAATAATATTTTTTGAATTCACAAAATTAATATTTAACTTACATATATAATTGACTGAAATAATATTAATAATATTAACTAAATAAAATTAATATTTCCTACTCACCCGTGTAATAAGTCCATTGAAGAACACACTGAGAGCAGGTGAGATAAGGTGGTAACCTCACCCTGTACTTGAAAATATCTTTCTTCTTTGAATTTTCCGGAATAAGATATCGGACCTGCCGTGTGCCAGCTATGTACAACGGATACCTCAAGAAAACAGGAAAATTTAAAATTACAATATTATAGATTTCTTATACTAATTTCCTAAAGTTTTTTATAATTTATTATTATTTTATTTTGAATGTTATAGATTGAGTATAATATACAGAAAACATGAAATACTATACAAATCGCCTTTTGCTGGTAATAAATAGCAAAAACAAATTTAATCGTATTAAATCAAATTAATATTATCGTGCCCAACTGATGAACGCCTTTATAATTATGTTTAGATAATTCATATAACCTTAACGCACACTTATTTGCTTACCTCTCTATACAAGACTGTGTCGCTTCGTACTTAGGATTATTATTTGGACAGAGGTGCATTTCGAATCTTCCTTTGTGGTTAGCAGTTAACTCAATTTCGACATCAATCGTCTGAAATCCAATGAACCTTTCATTATTTTTACTATAAATATATTAAAACGAAAAGTAATTTAATTTTATATTAGTTTTTTTGTGACGTAACATAAAAAATTAATTTATTATTTTGAAACTAAGTTTCGCATAACTTTTTACATTACCACTAGTATAAATAATTTTTTATAGTGTTTTTTACAGAAGTGTATATTATATAATAGTAATGTAAATTGTAGAGACAATTTTTTAAGTTGAATCATCTGAACATACATGAACATGATTCATAATATTATTATCGAATAAGAAATTCCGATTAATACGATAAATGTATTAAATTTAGAAACAAGATAATGATAATACTTATAAGAGTAATGATAGTTAAGTAATGTCTTAAAATTTATCTTAGATAATATAATTAAATCATCAATAATCAAATTTATATAGCTTTTACATCAAATCAAATTTCAAATTTTTAAACATTACATTTATTCCGTATTACACGTAATTCTTTGGATAATTAATTATTCATCATATATTATTATAGTTGATGATTAATTATTATATCATCTGTATCATAATTCAAATGATAAGAAAAAAAATATAATACTAAAATGAAATATAAATTACAATATTATTGTACTTATTGTGTTTACCTACTATCCACTCAAATGTACACAATTTGCTTTGGAAAATATATAGAAACATATAGAGCTCAAGTACTTATATGACACATTTCAGTTGGCAATTATATAAATCTATAATGTTTTAATTTAAAAAGCCAATATCAACAAATTATAATTATTTTCATGTTATTTACATAAAAATTTAATTTTTAATAAATAAGAAATATTATTTGTTTTTGTAATAATTAAAATCAAACATTAAATAGTATACAAATTAGATAATATACATATATTTTTCATAAATAATTAATTATGTAAAAACATCAATGTCTTCCCACTGCTACAAGTAACTTTTGAATAACAATTTTTTTTAGTAGCTAATAAACATTTTTACTGATATTAAAATTCAAAAAAAACTGATGTTACACAGTTAACTTATTAATCTAATATCATTTTCTCGATAACTCAATAATTATGTAACTTTATAAAATATAGCCATTTTTTTAGTGTATTACATTTTTCTTTTCTATGTAAAGAAAATACCGAATCATAATTATATTCATTGATATTTTTTTTATAAACAACACATAATTGTCTAAACTATAAATGAATTTATTGTCATAAATGTTTATTTTTAAATAATTATATTTTTAGATAATATTTCTCAGATATACAATATTAAAATATTCCTTATTATCATTAGTTATTTTGTAATGAACAATTTGAGTGATAATAATGTGATCAGGCCTTAGCCAATAAATAAGGTTTTAACTATTCTAACGAATTAAACAAGAAAAGTTTATTCTACTTATTATAGAAATGTTAAAACTTTGTGACCTACTTTATATAATATGGTACGTTTATTATCAGTTTAAAAATTGTAATATTTTAAGTTTATTAGTAAACCAATGTAATTAAAAATAAACGTATTATTTATTTAAGCTACATAAAGAGCCAAATTTATGAACAGCTAAAACAAACTTAAATTACTTTTTAGAAGCAAATCCAATTTTCGTTTTAATTAAAGTATACTGTGTGCTTAAGCATTAGTACCTACATTTCAGCATTTTATGATCATCGAATTTCTTTAAAAATCAAATTTAAGTGCTTTGTATTCTCTGATGTCATTGTCGTAAATTGTAAAACTGTTTATTGATCGATAATTATTATTATATGCATGTAATTTCGATGGTCCTAATTCGTATCAGGTAACTTGGAATTTTGACGATTTACAAAAAGCTTTGCCTCCTTAGAGGATTTCAATTCTAAATGACATACTGAGCAAAACTTTCGTTAAAACTTTTTTCCACATTGTGTTTTATTAATATTTCACGAGGCCATAAAAGTTCTTAGAAAAAGTTAAAGTGTAAATGGTAATTACATCCATAGATTTTGTATAAGAAGTTTTTTTTTTACTCTGTAACCAAACTTTATCCGACAATTAAATAAGAAGGTATTTCATTGAATACAATCATAGCAATATTATTTAAGTACAATTGACGGTTAATAATAATAAATTTATGTTTGAAGAACAATAATCACGACAAACGTGATCTAAACGTATCGCAATAATGGCACAGTGTTATATTATGCGCATCATTTATTGGAGTATAATGAAAAAAAACGCTCATAATTGTTTCAATTGACCTTACCTGACCTGCAAAATAATGCCTGCTGATTATCCCTCTGCCGTATTCACCCCCCGCTTCGTGTCGTCTAGGTTGAGCTTGATCATACGCGTCCCCGCACACTCCGCATTTCCCGTCGTTAACGCTCCATTGAACTAAAAACATACATTATTACCTTCTTACTTGTTTTTTTCTTTGCTCTACGTTTCGATATTAGCAATTCGAGCTCGTAAAGTAAAAATAATAATAATAAAAATAATCGACGGATTTTCTCGATCTGGATTTACATCGTACCAGAATGGCCTCCGCAAAACAATTCGTTATCGTTGTAATCGACCGGATTAGGATATCCGAACCGCCACATACTGTTTCTTGACGGTGGCTCCATAAGTCTTCCATGCCCGACCACAGAATCGAATAGATGTACCTATTCAAGAAACAAACAAAAATCACTAAATTTAATATTAGTGCAGACGAGTAGAAAATATGTTAATATATCTTCACCAAATACCCACTTGTAAATATTGATTACTTAATACATACTATACTCATGTACCAATAACGAGTATAGACTGAGTTTTCCAACGATTTTGAATATCGATGATTCGATATGATATCGAAATCGTGGAATTTATTTTGATATATGCGATATCGATATTCATGAAAAAATCATCTGAAATAGCACCTGCACTCTTTTTCTGGCTTTTCTAATGTGATACGCCTAACTATTGTTATTTATTCACCTTCTCATATTATTCCATTTATTATACACACTGTATGGATTGTAAATATTCATTAAATAAACTAATTTAAAAAAAATAATAAAAAGTATAATAACTAAAGAAAAATACTTAACACTTCATTTAAGTAGTTAAGTATATGTATTTAAATCGCCAAAAAGTACTTAAGTATCGTTTATACTTAATTAATGGAGTTCTTTGCCAACGCTTATTTAGTGAATTTATAATGGTCATATAAAAACAAAAAAAATAGACTATTAACCGAAAGCGTACACCACCTTTCATTTCTAAACTAATATGTAAAATCAAATACAAATCCTGAAACGTTGATGGTGAATACTATCATTTTTATAGAAATACACATCCAATTAAAATTATTAATACTAATGTTTTAATATTTGCATTTAATTTATGTTACAAGACCAAGTATTCGATAAATGGAACTTGAATGTAAAATATAATGAATATTATGAATTAAGAATTAAGCAGCGGTTCATAAAAAAAAAAAACATTTAAGTCTCGGAATTCAATATTAAATGTACCTCACTTTTAATTTAAATTCATAATTTCTCCAATACACTTCAATAATTCTTAGCTAACTACTATTTAATTGTTTATCTGTATTGCGTATCTTTAACAAATAAATTTATAAAACTTTGATATTAATATTGGTAAAATAAAAATGATTTCGATAACAAAAAATATATTGTTAACCAACACTAAATAATAACATAATTAACATAAATTTCAATTAAAAAAGAGGGAAAGTAGGTAATAGCTCTGTGGATAATGTAATGTATGTGTTAAATTTGAATTCAATGATAAATCATTGCATAAGGAAAACGATTTTGTGCTATATTCAGTATATTTTATTACATACTACATTATATTAAAATTGCTATAGTAGTAATTTATTTTGCAATTAGTAATGCAGTAGGTTAAATTATATTTTTCCGACATTGCATTTGTGAAACAATCTTTTATTCAAATAATTTTTGACAGAGTGGAAATATCAAATATAATATTACATTATATAACATTTTACCAATATTTATGGATAGAAAAAAATCAAAAACGTCAAATATATATATATATATATATTATACATCTAAAAAGTTATCATATTTTGAAAATTGTATTATGCATAGAAAATACAGACATAAATATTTCTTGAAAATTTGTTTTTTTGCATTTTTGACTCTAACTATAGTACTAAGTCACTACTAACTATGTCTAATTTTCTACCAGAAACCAACCTCAAAGTGAAATATTGAATCATTTTAAGGCCCCAAAAGATGCCAACAGACAGAAAAAATATCATTGTGAAATCAATACATTTGTCTATCAGAATCTAAAATCTGAGAGACTAATACACTACTAACAAAACATAATGATAATTTTATTATTTTTAGGCGATTATTAGTGAACATTTTAATTTGTAATTAAACTTGATTTCAGTATTTTCAGTTATTTTATGGAATTGTTAAAACTTTATTTTCGAATAACTTAGGAACTATTTTTCATGATAATGATTTTATACATTTTTAATTTATTATAAAGTAAAAACATGTATATTTTGTTTAATATCCTGAACTAGAACATTTTGTATATTTAGTTATTTTTAAGAATGCAATGTTTCATCTACAATTGGTGAGGTGCAACAGGGGGTATTCCTTAGACTATTTCATTTGTCTTAGTATGGAATAATAATAAATAGGGCTGAGATTTAAATGTTAATACTTCATATTTTTACTGAAACATGACAAATTCATTGAGATATTTAATAAACTGGTATCTTAAAATTTTCAATAAAATGTTCACATATCAAGGTATAGTAAAAGTCATATTTTATTTTACATATTTCGTCATAATATTGTATACAATATTTATAATAATTTCGTATTTTTTTTTCATACCTTTTACATATTCTCGTTTACAATACTCAAAACTAAAATTATTTGTCAATTATTCTTATCGTTAAAGTTGGAACAAAGACGATTCGTGGTCAGAGGTGGAAATTGATAGTAGGATCGTATTAATATTGTAAGAGTGTACTGCATTCATTTTAAAATACTATCTAGTTGCAATTGTTCGATTGTTCTATTTTGGTATGATAAGAATATAAAAACAATTGTATTTCACTAAATTTTTATTAAAAAAGTTGAATCAAAAATTCAATGTCATAAAGGTATTTGTAATTTCTTATTATATATTATTTTAAATTCTTATACTCTACCTATTTTGGTTATTTTAATTACTTATAATTTCACACACTTTGACTTTAATATTACATAAACCTAAATTACAACCATACAGTACTACATTTTGGTTCAATTGGTAAGTTAGTAAAATTGTTTGATGTAGAATATTATTCAATAAATATTGATTTGCATGAAAAAGTAAAAACCTAATATGTCATTATGATATAAAATAAATGTACGAATATTTCTATTTTCTGTATTTTATAAGCAAAACGGCCATAAATACTAAGCGCTAACACTAAATTTATTTAGATACGATAACTGCTGCCCATCAATAAAATTATCAATCTAAAATTAATGACAATTTAACTAGTTTTTTGAACTTGCTTAAGTCATTACTTTTAACCACTTGATGTATCTAACAGTGTTATGCTAAAAAAAAACTTTAGAAGTAAAATAGAAACACAATAAGTTTGTTAAAAATTACATTTTGAAAGCAATTATATTGTCAGATTATATTTAAGATTCTAAGTAGAATATGCATTTTCTATGTTTTTAGAACATTTAGGTACATTGCAAGTATTTATATAAATTAAATTATTATTACAAGTACCCATTTAACTAACTTATTCATGTTCATTTTGTAAAAATAATTAATTTAATAAATTTCAATGTTTTAGATATTAAATAGAGTCACAGAGATGTTATACAAAACTTTTATACATTTTTTTCACATTAGAATAATATGTACATGATTTAAAATCAATAGTTTCCCCCTATTCTTAGAATATAAATAAAATATAATTTAATTACACAAAATCATCTACAATACGGCATGAGCTAAATTTAGTACTTTTAAGCTATATTCAAGTTAGGCTACAACCATTTTATTAAATTATCTTATAAATTGCAAATGAATTATTAACATTTACATAGTAATTACTTCATTATTATTACTTTAATTAATCTTGATAAATGTGAATTTGGAAAATGAAATGAAAATGAAAATAAATACGAAAAAGTAAACATTTTGTAAAATAGATTACGTTAGATATTTCCTGACTTGTTTATTATTTTAAATTAAATAAAAATGGTTTTTTTATATTTTTAATCTATTATAAGATCATCAAATTGTAGTAAATACTGCCGACGAAAATTGTTTAAATATATGTGCCTACATTTTTTATTTGTATACACTATATAGTATATACTATACATATTATACAGTAATAATAGTGTTATAAGTTATAACAGACATAATATAAATATAAATAATATATACGTATACTCTTTCAATGAACATAAATATGATTTATTTTTAAACGAGAATATATAGTTTATCATACAATTTAATAAATTCTTTAAATCTTAAATCATAATTTTTATTTGAACACACGACCGAATACTTTTGTTGTCGTTGTAAGTTATTCAATTTGTATATTTATTAGTACAAAAAGGGCGTTGCGATGGAAACGGATTTTAAATGTATGAGTTCACTGAAGGCGAAGTTCCACGATCTGATAATGTTATTTATGTCATTTTAACAATGGTCTGCGTAGGTGCCAAAAACGATATTATTAAAGTTCGTTAGTGTTGCATAAATTCCATTATATATTGTAGATGTGATGAAATTAAATATTCCAAAAAGGTGACAATACTCGAACAACCTAATTTTAATCTAAACCGGTTTTGTACAACACATTAAAATCACACTTTTTAAACAATTTTTTGTTGTATAGTAGTTGCAAACAACTAATATTAGTTAAGCTTATACACTTAGTATAAGCTGCTGATTGCTAGTATACCTACATATTTTTACCCGAACAACTTATTTTTATATAAACGGAAATTGATTTTGAAGTGATGTCTCTTATTACGCTCACGTAACTTAGTAAGTAGCAGTATTTTTTAATTTCTACATTTATTTAATTGAGAAATAAAAACACTTTAAACAAAATGTACACCTATGTAAAAATAATATAAAACATTATTCTGTATGAAAAGCATTTTTTTTTATTATTATTATTATATATAATTAACTATAGTTAATAATTCAATCTGTCTTCAAAAACTATAATCAAAAATCAATAACTAAATTAATAACATGTTTTAAATAAATTGATTTATTATTTCACCCTGTGTTATCGTGTTATTCTGGTAATTACTAGTCATCTATTCATATGTTATAGTTTTACAGATCATTTAATATTATAAATGTAAAATTCATAAATTATCTTCAACAAAAACCTGTTTTATAATATCTTAATATATAGGTACTTCAAAATACTCAATAAAATATATGCTTCAGTCATTTTAAAATGTGTAGGTACATAGGTATGTACCAGGTGCATTGTACCTAACACCGAACTATGTACATTGAAAATCTTTTGTTATTATCTTTAAAAGCTATATTATGTATAGACAATAGACCTATAGTCTCTACTCTTTATAAATAATAAAATATAATACTTCTTGTATAATAAACAATTTATTAACACCCTACAATTAGTAAGAAATAAATTGTAATTAAATTTTTTTTTTAAGTTTTTTACATTCTTTTATTATACAATAATTTATGTCCCGATGTTCTGTTGTTATATTTTGTTTAATAAAATGTAAAGCTCGGGTGAAGGAACATACTGTACCATGTATATTTTAAATTATGTGAAATGTTAAAATAAATACTTTAAGCATAGTATTCAAAAACTACACTTGACTTCTTTGAATGAGCTTTCGTTTCTAATAATTATTATTCTAAAAGAATTCATGGAAAATAATAATACTATATCATTATAAATGGAAACAAACTTGAGTACAAAGTAAAAACTGTATTTATTTCACAATTATTTGTTGTTTTAATTACATATTTTATTTTAGCATAGTTAAAATGTGCTTTGTGCTCTTCCTAAGTGAACAAAGCATAATTTAATAATTTATTACGCCTTAATGTTTATAAATTATAATTAATATGATATAATATAAGTATATGCATACAATCCGTTTATAGAGTGATTGAACATTCTTATCTATTCTGTACTATTAGAGTAGCTGGCTGAAACTATTTTACGTCGTATACCTATTGTTACTATAGTTTATACCTAACAATGGAACCATAATACGTTTTTATTTATTATTTTGTGTACTCACCCAAAGTAAACAAACTGGAATGAAGATTTGCAGAGTCCATTGAGTAGATGTCAAACATTTTTTCATTTTTGTACTATTACACTTCAAAACGACTGCATTCAAACTGGAAAAAAAAACTATAAGATAATACCAAATATTATGTTATAGCGAGTGATCTTTAAAAATAATTTGAATCGTTTCACTGGTCCCCCCAAACAAATAATGATCACTGAACGATTAGTTATCATGTTTCGCACCTTTTAACCTTCGACCGCGACAGATCCATTCGGGAATCAAATTATATTTTTTGTTTATTACGTTTTTATTAAGCGATATGAAATCTTTAAACACATTTAGATCAGGAACAGTAGTATTAAATGTTCGTATTACTTTGCAAAGTGGAGTAAACCAGTCGTTAATTGACCCTCGAGGGGCTGCGTGCTACGTTTTTATGAGTATGAAAAAACATGGAAATCTGTCGTCCGACAAGGCCAAACCCTCAGGAAAAATGAAGAGAGGGAACTACTAAAATACAATAGTCCAAAACAAAAACAAAACAAAAATATTACGATGGTAAAGAATAAAAAATAAAAGATGGTAAAAAAACACATACAGATCTAACACAATGTGAATATGATCGGAATTTACTCGCTTCAATTGTACAATATCGACGACGATCACCATAAGAACGTCGACCACGTCGAAAAGGTCATGTACCACGTTTGTTTATGGTATAGGTATTAGGTACTTGTTCTCAAAACTTTGTCGACCACGGCAAGGGGGAAATATAATGTATGGAGTCGTTTGTTGATTTTATGCTATATTATTCGCAGTGTTTTATGTCTTCTTCCTCTTCATCTACTCTCCGTCCCAATCACCATCCCCACCACCAGCCCCAACCCCAACCACCCGAGACACATCCAGACAGTCGGCAGTATGGGTAAGACATATTATACATACATTGTACAGGTACTTGCCGGTCGTGATACTCGGGGAACGACGACCTTCGATTGTGGCTTGTGGCGGCGGTCCACAGAGCAATCGCGACACGCAAAATGTGTGTAATATTAATATAATGTTTATAGTTTGAATATATTATTATTCGATTGTGTTCACCCTTTAGTAGAAAAAAATGTATAAATATATCATGTACCTATGCGATGTGCAGACCGTCAAACTCGTATACACATTATATTTATATTTATATATATATATAATATATATATAGGTACCTATCAAGGATCCCGACCGTGAAATATATTATGAGGTATATTATAATTTTGAAATCCGTAGGCACTTTGACGATGTCTCAATAATAAAACACAGTGAAGCGATTAGTAACGCCTCCTGTGATTTCGAGTTCGTTCGTACGGGTAAACGGAAGCGCGATAAATAGTTTAAGTATTATACAACAGAACATTGGTACTGGGTAGGTACTGTAGGTACTCTCTTACTACATTAAATGTTTCAATCCATAATTGTTATAGCATTACTAAAATATTAATATATCTAAAGACGCTCGTTATTTGTTATGCTACGGTTATCTCATATTTAATTTTTTGTGTGCGAGTTCTAAAATCATGAGAGTCTTTATTATTATATGTATTTGTACGTATTTTAGCTTGCATGAACAAAACTGTTACAACATAATTTGTTTGGAGCACACACGATATGCAAACAAATTATATTTTGTATAAAAAATATGAGGGTAGCATTTCTGCTCGAATAAAGTTCACAAAATAAACAGAACTCTAGATTTAGGATTTATATAATTTGAATAAGAATAGGTACGGATTCCTAGAAAAATCATAGATTCTAACAGAATGTGTTATCGGTTCTTTTTATATTATATATCTATAAAAAATCTTGAATATTCTGTTGGTGTACTCTTTGAGATTTGAGTTATTTAAATTCTCTAGAATTCATTTTCAAACTGTTACAGCGCTACATAAATGCATAATATTATAAAAACGCATCAGTAACTTAATAAATGCTCTTAAAATAACAACACTTAAGAGTCGTAGATAATATTCTGGTGCTAAATTTTTAAATGGTTTAATTTCCTAGTCAAATTAATGCATCAACGTGACTATCTAGAGTGGGATTCCGAATACTGAGTACTCGGGAGCCATTACAAATAGTGACGGCAAATACAACTATAGAAGTTAGGTACCTAGAAGCAGATCCTCTGTAAGGAAAGCCATGTCTCTAACGATATCACGATAATAATTTATTGCACAATCAAATGTACTGTATGTTAAAATATATGTTTTTCTATTTCCTGTAAACAATAACCGAATGGCATTTGTTATTTAAAATTAATAATTAAATATTAATTTATGAGTGTATTATACATCTAAACATACCATGATAGATAATATAAAGCTTTGATACTATCCTACATAAAGTATTTTGTAATACACATCAATATTGTTGGCAAATATGAATACGATAATAGTTAAATTATTTACTTAACGATATCAAGTACATTTACCTCTAGTCGTATCTACAATCTACTGAGTATTAGGTACTTACCTAATACACACACATTCATACATTTCTAAGTTCTAGTTACATATTCTTTGACACTTCAGATATATAATAATTAATATTTACTATCGTTATGGATGGGTAATTAGTTTACGAAAAAAATATTCAATTGCCTTCAACTTTAAATACGTCATCGGGTTTTAATACAGGAACTACTACATGCTTATAATTAAATAATAATTGTTTTTGCTCAATAGTCACCTATATAACAACTATAATTCTGTTATTTTATTACTCGGATACGTTAGCCGATTTAGATACTTATTAGTTATTACTAATACATATATTTCACCTGTGATTTGGAAAACTCGTAATATAAACATAGACAATTCTTGAATATTTGTTAAAATATGAATTAAAATAATATAATATCTAGAAAGTAAAAGTATTAAAGAATACCAAAATAAAAATAATAATAAAGATGTATATAATTTTAATATTTTGATTTCCATTATTATTTTATCATACGTTGCGCTAATTTCAAACTATAAAATAACAATACTTTACAATATTTTATGTTCAAATTTAACTACTATTGAACATTTTAAAACTACAAGTATTTCGTTAGAATATTTCTAATCCCATACTGTATTTAGTTTATAAAATAGGGATAGCAAATAAAAATCGTAAATGGAGTCTAAAAACTACCATGAATCATGATCGTATTAAAATACCAAAGACCAATTACTCACTGATTGGCAATCATTTGTCGCAATATTTTAACTGCTGACTCACGATGCATACTGGTTTGTCTTCATTCTTCTTGTTCAACTAAGTATACGGGAGTATGGAACTTTATGGAGTGTTGTGTATGCAGTGCAACAGATACTAATAATAAAATAGATAAATATTTTTATTTAACTACAGAAAATAAATATTCTCAATTTCCGTAACAATTTATAATAAACATACTAGTACACAAATATTCTTTACCACTAAAAATAGTTTGAAATGTTTGAATACACCACTGGGATTTTCTCAGTCACTAAGTTATAGGAAATTTATGAAAAATGAGTTTAAAATTAAAACTATAATATTAAGAGGCTACATTTTTTATAATTTTAAACGTTTTTAAGATTGCCTAAACTCAAATTAAAAATAAATATACTTCTTGGTATAACTTAAAAATCTTAGATGATTAATTATTTAATTATTTGTATTTATGTATGTTCTAAAACTTAGGTGAGATAGAAATATAGAATAGATAAGTATTATACTTAATTATTTGAATTTATAAGCTATTTATCACTTTCCTCTGACCTACCCCTTGTCTATGAACATTAAAGACATTTGCATACCTACATATTTTATGAATAAAAAAAATTGTGGAATACAAAACATTTAATAATTTTGAATTGAAATTAAAAATATTATTTGTGCTTAACAATGTGGTTACTGTTTAATACGACTTATTCAACTTTTATTCATGAAAATATTTAACGTTTTTATTTTAATGAAACCATAGAAATAAAATTTTACCATTTTATTATTATTAAAACCATAACGATGTACTAGTTAAATTATTTTATAAATAATTGAAAAGTTTTAATTAAGAACAATTTTTAATTGTTAATATCTATATTATTTAATACTGTGAGTTATGATAAATTTCAAATTATATTATTTATAATCAAAATATTTTAACTTTCAAACATATAGGTTATTACTTATTTATATGCGATTTAAACTTGAGATTGAAATTAATAATTAGTAGTAACGAAGTATGTTTGCTTATTCGAGATATCAATTATCTTACCTGTATTAAGTATATGACATAAAGAAGAAAGTGAATTTTGAATAGTCATTTTATATAATACCTATTCAAAGGATGCTAATACAAACAACAATTTAAAAGGAAAATAAGAGTAATAAATTCCCAGAAAATAAAACTATATAAACACGAACAATTTTGCACCTATAATGGCTATAATATTGAGACTTTGAGAGCATCTTTCAGTTAATAAATATTTTCAGGAACCTTACAACATAATATCGCCATCTCTGACACAAAAGTGAATGAAATAAAATGTTAAAATATGTAAAGCGAATTTATTTTGTTTTTGACTACATGATTATCATATATTTAAATACTATATTTTATTTGCGCATATATTAATATTATATTTTAATTATTGGAGGAAATTAGTAACAGCTGAGTAAATGTTACTCTATAATAAATAAAACATTTTAAAAAGCGTTGAAAAACGACTGTTAAAGTATTAGAAAAATATAAATATTTATAAATTAGAGGAGTGAATGTATTTATGTGATCGATTTCTAGGAGATAAAAGGTAAAAACTTACAATCGTAATAGAAATAAGACATTGAAATGAAATAAAATGTTAACGTGATAAATTGAACTTCAAATGTAAAATATCGCTTGCGTATACCTATTACGAACATCTACTGCACTATATTATATTTGACGTTTTCGTTTACAATGTGCATTCGCGTTTACCGAACTTGTTTTACCATAACTCCATGAGCATTAATATTTTAACGAAATGAATGACACGCTAATATTTTATGCGGCAGATAAACCTATTTCAAATACATAATATTACTATACATGTTATTAATAATGATATGTTGTACAGTATTCTTGCAAGGCGCATTCGCTCATAATAATAATAAATAATATCTTACAATACAAAAAACATAAACGTATACATTTTTATTTTCCCGCCCAGACGTGGTTAACTAGTGTACGTGTGTGTTTGTGTTGTTTTTTTTCGCTACACAATGGCCAGACTAGTATTTTCAATTAGGGTAACCCAAGAAGGTTTTTCAAAAGTCGGTAAACAGCACGGTTGCCCGTTATACGTTCTGTTTGCACATCTCTCAGGATATTCGTTTTTATCTCTCTGTCCGCACAACATGTATATGCACACACGCACACACACGCACACACTGTATATATCCCTCTCAACTAGAGTACGTGTGTGTGTGTGTGTGTGTGTGTGTGTGTGTGTGTGTGTGTGTGTAAGTGCGCATGTATTTGCGCCTACTTCGAAATCACGCCAGAGGTCAGTAACCATTTTCAATAAGTGGATTAGTCACCGGTCGATTCGGCTGACGGGGCATATTATATAGTGGTTACACATATATAGAGGTACAAGACAAACTTGACCTATCCGGAGAACATGGTTAACGTACCTCGGCTCGCACGTAAGTATATATAATATCGTCGCGGACAGTAATGCGTGCAAGCAATAACCATTGGGTCGGAATACAATTTCGTCAGCTGCGAGAGACGAGGAATAAAAATGACCATTAATCCAAATCGCCGCGGAACCGTATCGCGTGACTCCTAATCCTCCTGTCCTGTGTGGTTGTTCTCTGGGCCAAACGGGTCCTGCTGCTGCGTTGACATTTCGCAATGATTTTCCACGTTTGTTAATGTTTTATTTATCATTTTTTTTTTCATGTTTTATGTCTTATAAATGTCAACATAAGCCGTTCAAACTCTACTTACGCGAGTCTACACTTCAATCGACACTCACGCGTCTTTGTCTTCAAAGGTTTTTACTTATATATGCAATATGCATATATACCTACACAGCCTGAGAACCGTCTGTAAAGAGATTGTAATACGTGGTCGAAACTTCTTTAAGTGTTCGTATACATTATAAACGTATGTAAATAGATTTGTTATAAGTATATACCGCAAGACTGCAGGAAAGACTAAGTGATAAAAATTGTGTAAATAATCTGTCAATTCATAACTACTAAAATACTAGGTACTCAAAAAGTGTATTGATATACCTATGTATTATATATAATAGTATTTTCTACAGAATATTACTTTATTATAACGATAGTTTGTTATAGATAATATGCACACAACAACTTTAATTAAGAATTGTTGTTGTTATTAATTATTATACTTTATTTTTACAAAAAGTTAAAATTATTATTTATTTTTTTAACTTTCCCAGTATACTGAAAAAAAAAAACATAATTAAATTACTGATTCAAACAAACAATAACATGTTACTGTAGTAAAATTAAGAGACGCTTGTCCATAAAAATAAACTAACATTTTAAAACGAAGGACACACTATCTTATAAAATAATTAAATTAAATTTTTTGTAGATTATTTTTATGAATAGTGTCTTAAACTGTATTTGAACTTTTGAAGACGCTATTAAATACCTACTTAAAATACTTATGATAAAAATAAAATACATTTTAAGAAAATTATGTTTTCTAAACATACACATTGCAAGCATAATATTTACATAATATCATGATTAAAAACAAATAATGATTGATTATATCTTGATTTAAAATGAATACTGAACAAAATGTTTAAATGTTACTGCTTTATAAGTCAAAGATAATATTATGCATTATTTCAAACTTCAGAATTTATTTTTTTTATTTTATTTCCCTAAAAATGGATATAAAAAAATGTATTAACACGTATGTAAAATGCATACAAAACAAATATTATTTTAGTTAGATATTCTTATAATACAACTTTTTAAATCAACAATTCAAGTATGTTTTAAATTCACTTTCTGTAAAATAATGGTGTATAATGATTACATTTTTTTTAGATTTTGGTTTAAGCAAGAAAATATAGATGATTTGTTTTAAAAAAATACTGTAAGCACTTTCTAGTGATAAAAACTCAAAAGCTTCAAATGTTCCCTGTAGCCCTATCTATTGGCTGAATATTGCGTCTAGTTAGTTCTTTGAAAAGGTCGTTTCAACGGTCTCAGCAAGATTAATAAATTATATAACTAATTATATAACTAGCCTTGTACACAGTATACAAACATTAATATTACCTAAAACCCGCAAAAATTATTGAAGAACTTACAGTTTATGCAACATTTCAAATTTAAGCATAAAAATAATGGACCACCAAGACTCTCTCATATCAAACCGAGCGAACCGACACAAGTGGTGAGTGCCACGTCACTGTGTCTTGCCTGGCTATTTAAATTTAATCATCACTAATCATGATGTATTTGATTCCAATGAAAACAATATTATTTATTTGTGAGTATAATTATCGTATTGGATAAAATAAAGTAAAATAAATAAGGATACTTAAGTTAACTTTATAAGTTATTTTTAATTTTTATATGATAATGAAAATAATCAAATGTGAATTATTTGTAACCACTTTTATGTTTATGGTATTGCCGTTTAGGTAATAGTTATAAAAATAAAATTTCTATAATATTAGTGCTGTAAGTACTTATAAAGTTAAAACCGTTATACTTAAAAAGAAACAATACATTTAATTATGCCTTAAGCTTTTAGTAATATTTTTTCACATACATTTTCCATTAAACTTAGATTAAGAAACGAAAAATAAATTATGTACCTTGAATATCATACTGATATTATATTATCATAATTCATAATGCAATATTATAACCTATGGGTATAATATAATAAAACTGCCAATAAAGACGATACACCCATCACTCGTAGTGCCATGATTTTAGCATAAAAAAATGGTATAATATAATAGATACTTAGGTATTAATATATTATTATGCCAATATTGTATATTGTATAATGTTAACAAATGTTAATCATTTTGTTTAAAAACAAAATTAGTTAAATATTTTCCCAAACTGCATTGCCTTGTTTATTACAGTACATATTATTATCTGATTATAAACATATTATATGATTTGTATGTTTCATTAAATAACCACATACATTTTTTTTTTTAAATTAAATTATTTCTGTGACGTTATGCAGGTACCTATAACTTTCCTATTGAAAATAATTTTGAATTGAATTAATTAATTAATATTAGTTGTATAAACTGCACCGAAAAAATATTTTTTAAATAATATATTACTTAAATATATTATGAGGTACAAACATACATAACTGTATCCCTAAAACAAAAATAACCTGAATATTTCATATACCTACTATTATTGACGTTTAAATATTATTAGTTTCTTAAATAGTTCAAGTTTTGTGTTTTTAAACCAAGTATGCAATATGTATATTGAAAAAAATGAAAGGAGGTTTTTAGGCTAGGCGGTGGCAATCGTGAAGTTTTTGCACATATGTTTCTTTATCCAGTTGCCGAGCGGTTCAAGCCATTGTTGATGTTAGATATATTTATATAATTATTATTAATCTTCTTGTCCTGCCGAATAATGCTTTAAATTCTAAATACGACGAAGTTAAGTCTACACGGGAAACGAAAACCTGTGGTTCGGAACCCGGAGGAACCAAGCCGAATTATGTATGGCCACATGAAAAATGGTTCATTGGTTTCGTCTCCAATGATCTCCCCGAGACAAATCGGTTTGATTAATAGGTGTACACTTTGACCTCTCTTGAACAGTTCGTCGTGATGACAAAATTTTATCACGTGCCTTGTCTATTATACAAAAAAATCACCCTACTATTTACAAAACTACGGTAACCGTTAAGACGCTATATGGTCTATCAACACGACCATGTTCTCAAGGTCAAGATCAACGTCTGCAGCTTATATCATATTATAATCGCATAATGAATGTATTCTATATTATATAATATAATCCTAATAGACTCAATGGGTTATTACTATTGTGGATAATTACCCATAATTATATTTAGTAATAACATTTAAACCTTAAAGTACCTAAGCGGTTGTTCAATTTGTGCACTAAGATGAGTGAAACAAACTGAACTTATTTTATTATTTTAAAACTGTTTTTTTTTTTTTGTTTACATAGAAATATAAACGCGTTATCACTCTACCATTTAATCAAAACCAATCATATCTATATTTATGTTTAATGTCTATACATATTAAAAAATGTTCACATTTCTTTGTAGTTTTTAAATCCACAATGCTCAAACTATGTTATTTTTGTGTTCACGAAATACAACTCTGATATTATGGGAATAAATGGGTCTATAATAAGTACGTCTGTACGGCCATAGAACAATGGTATGGTGTAGGTAATGTTCCTTAGACGTTATAATGACATTTTTATACTGCTGTGTTAGTTACTTTGGCTATTAAATATTGTATAGAGTTATACAAAAGTGTATGTTATAATAGTGTATTTCCTGGTGGAAACCAACTCTGCTCGTTTTGAAATACACCCCGTATTGTAATTTTGTGAGGATTCTACATTTTACACAATATAGAGTACCCAATCGTCGTTTAGCCAACTTATACTAATCCACAAAGCTCAGAAATAACTTATAAGGATTATTTAACTCGCAAAGCGTTTGAGTCGAATAAACTGATACACTATAGCTGAACACGTGCGTACGAGTATACAATGAATGTTTGGAGATTATCAAAAGGATTGCGTTTTATATAACGGCCAATACATTATTGTTTGGAAGTTAATTTTTTTTTCTCGACAAACAATATTATCATTTTTATTATTATTATATGGCTATGTAGATACACTATAATATTATA